CTAATGAAATGCCAAGCCAGTGAGGAGCTGAAGCTCCCACCCTCTTTAATTTAGGGGAACCATTAACAGTGCTCTCCATCATCACAATTACTGGGGCCTACTTCCTTCCCTCCCTGCGGTGAAACTTAGAGAGGAACTTGTGCAGCTAACTGCGTATTAGATGGTGTTAAAATTTTTCAGTAGGAAGGAAGAAAGGAAAAAATCCCTTGCATCTTGGCCATCTGGAACTGACGGTGCAGGGATTTATGGGTCTTTCGATTCTCCCCTTTCCTTGTTTTTTGTTTGTAAAACGTTCTTGGGGCAAGAAGGGCCTAACATAAACTGAGCTTTGGTGAAGCTATGCAAAAACGAGCTAAAAATGACAGCTGTGGAGATGGTGTGACGTGGCTGGTTTTGACTGACACCTTCTTTCTTGTTTGGCCATGAATAAGCACCTAAGAGTCTGATGGCACCCAGCTGAGGATCAGGGGAATTAGGACCGGTCCATGGGCTACCAGTGTGCCAGGCTCCTGCCACTATTACTCCCCTTCTACAGAGGAGGAAACCGAGGCACCAGGAGGGTAAGTAACTGGCCAGTTACCCAGCTAGAAAATGGCCCAGTTGAAACTCAAGGCCCGGCAGCCTGACTCCAGGGCCTGTTCCCCCATCTGCTATACCCAGGGGATGCCAGGGGTCCTCCCGCCCAGAAGCCTCTCCATTGGGGTTCGTAAATCCCGTACCTAGAAGAAGGAGGATGGCACCTGCACCTCTGGATCTTGGAGGCTTCCCCAGCCCTAGCGAGTTTTGATTGTAATCAAATTAACAGCATAAACAAGATTTATTAGGCCCTTAATTACCTTTGCAACACTGATTTGCATAAGGACAATGTGCTAATCACAAATGGCTTTTTTAACCACTCATTAAAAATCTGGAAGAAGGAGGCAGAAAGACTTCATTGGCTTCAAGTCCAGGTCACTGCAGGGACTTGGAAGGTGTCCTACTTGCCCAGGCGCTGGTCCTGGACCTTGCCAGGCCTCTCTGGCCGCCTTCTCTTGTATAGTATCCTGGACATCTGTGAATATAGACGGCAGCCCCACTGCAGCCAGTGATGAGGACAAAACGGAGTGAGGCTATAGACGTCCACAGACTGAGGATAATTAGTATTCCTCGTCGCCACTCTTACCCTCAGAAATGGCTGCGGGGCTACGGCAGCCTGACCCTTTCCTGACATCCTGCTCATGCGGCACCATGTCCCCCACCAGCAGGGAACCACGAGGCCAAGAGGTCAAGGGTCTTGCTGGGAGGCACAGCATTTGTGTGGAAGAACGCAGGCCCTGACTCATAGCCTCATGCCGCAGTACCAAAGCTCTGCAGCCTGCAGCAGACATGATTGTGACACCCGAGCTCTCCAAATATGATAGTCACCAGGGACCCTCTAGGCATCTGCCGTCCCTTGAGGCAGGGCGGGACTGCAAGTACCCAGGCTCCAGGCTCCCTCATCCTCTCCCATTTGTTTGTCCTCAGAGCCTTCAGACAAGGACCCAGAGCCTTCAAACAGCCAGATACCTGCGGGCATTGAATCTCAACCTTCCCAGTGCACCCAAGCTCGCCTCCGGTTCAATGTCTTCTTAACGAAAAGGCAAAAGCAGCTTCCTGCCTCCAAGTCATTCAATAAAATTATGGAGGATGACGGACTAAAACAGTTTGCTAATTGTGAAAGCGCTCAGTTTTCTTTTCCATTTTCTTTCCTTCTTGTTTGGGAAATTGCATTGAGGACTTACGAGGTGATGGACCCCATTGCAGTTTCCCTGGAAATGAGGGATTTATCCTTTGTGAAATTCATAAAGGTTGCAAGGAGAGACTGTGTAACTTTCAATTGCCCAACCACAACGTGTCCTCGGAATAGCCTGGGGCTTGGAGAAGGAAGACGGGCTATACGATGGGAAACAGGTGAGCTGTGGATCAGAACCGATGACCCTCTTCCAAAAAGACCCTCCAAATCAGGTTAACAACTAGATACCACCTCGTTGATCCTGAAGGACTAGTTAAAACAGCAGAGCCCTGTGCGCTGTTTAATGTCTTCCTCTGCCCTTTACTGGCTGTGTGTTCTGGGGCAAGTCACTTTCCCACTCTGGGCCCAGATTTCCCTCCAGTTCTGCCATTCAAAGTGTAGGATATTGTTTAGCAGGTCCCTCACCTCCCTGGGCTCCCACGAGGAAGCCACGCTCCACGGAACTGACTGGTTAGCCACCAGTACTCAATGAGTCTTCCAGCCCACACGGCTTTCCTTTCTCCCACAGACCACTTAAGGCCCAAAGAGTAAGTGCCAGCCTGGTCTTCAAGCTCTTAGACCACTGGCTTTGCAATCTTGGTCCTTCTGTTAGACTTACAAAGAGCTGAGGCCATGATGGTGGAGGTAGCAGGGCACTGGGTGCTGGCCAGTGGCACTTTGGCCCATAACATTTCTTGGGAAAGCCAGCTTGAATTCATAATATGCACCGACCCCTCCCAGCCCAAGTCCTTCAAGGTCAAGACTCCCATCCTCTGGGCAGCCTCCTGACAGTCAGCCCTGTCCATCTTCCTCCATCTGAACCCCAAAGCCCAGTCTGCCTATCAATGAACTCTAGCCCTGCCCTGCTCTGCCAGATCCCAATGTGGCCCCAATGAGTCTTATTTCCCCAACTAGCTTGAGGCTGCTCCTTGAGCACAGAAATACCTCATCTCTGTTTAACCCCGGGACTGAACAACCTCATTCCTTAGCTGAACTCAGCTGGCAAAGGGCTGGCCGAGATCCAGATTTGTGGCACTCTGTGACCTAAACAATCACGGTCAAGCAGGTCTGAGGCTGGTCCCTAGTGGGGAGCTGCAGGGTTCTGGCCCTCCATCAGCAACAACTTTACTAAAATAACTTGGAGGAGACAAGCTTGGGAAGGTCATGACACGTGGGATGATGAGAGGAGGATAATTCTGGAGGGATGGACAGCTGGGCTAGAATTAATAAGGTAAAGCTTCCCGAGGGCAACTGCGAGATATGCTGCTTAAGTGAAATGTGGCTGCAGCCTGTACTCAGGGGCTTGCTTCAGATGAAGACAAACTGTGGCTTTTAGCAAAGGGTACACAGAGGCAGATGGAGGCAGGTTTTGTCTCTCTAGAGCAGCGGTCCTTAACCAAAGGTAAGACTCCCCTCAAATGTGGGAGGGTACTTTTGTTGTGATAATGCTTAGGGGAAGAGGCAGTCATCAGAAGAATGGAGTGGGATTAACCAAGGGTGGGCATTAAAAAAAAAAAAAAAGAACAGAGCGGGTAGGGACCAAGATGCTAAATGCCCTGCAAAGTCTTGCACGCTGAAAAATTACCCTGTGTCAGACAGGTGCAGTGGTGCATGCCCGTAATCACAGCACGCTGGGAGGCCAAGGTGGTAGGAATGTTTGAGCCCAGGAGTTCGAAACCAGCTTGGGCAACATAGCAAGACCCTATCTCCACAAAACTAAAAAGAAATAGCCAGGTGTAGTGGCGCGTGGCTATGCTTCCAGCTACTCAGGATACTGAGGTGGGGAGATCACTTGAGCCAAGGAGGTCGAAGCTGCAGTGAGCTATGATAGTGCCACTGCATTCCAGCCTGTCCAACAGGGTGAGACCCTGTCTTTTAAAAATAATAACAGGCCGGCATGGTAGCTCATGCCTATAATCCCAGCACTTTGGGAGGCTGAGGCAGGCAGACTGCTTGAGCTTAGGAGTTGGAGACCAGCCTGGGCAATGCCGTCTCTACTAAAAATACAAAAAATTAGCCATGGGTGGTGGTGAATGGCTGGGGTCCCAGCTACTTGGAAGGCTGAGGTGGGAGGATCACTTGAGCCTGGGTACAGAGGTTGCAGTGAGCCGGGATTGCGTGGCTGCACTATAGCCTAGGCGACAGAACCAGATCTTGTCTTAAAAAAAAAAAAAAATAATAATAATAAAAGAAAAATTACCCTGTGTAAATGCACTAAGGAACACTGCTACAGAAGAGAAGCTTGGAGCTGCTCAGCAGCCAGACCCAGGGTCTGAGGAGGCAGTGCCCTTGGGTGGTGGCGGGCTTGCTATGGTACAAAGGGCTTATGACCAAGGCAGGCAACCACATGTCAGGGGCAATCAGGCCCAGGGAGGGCACTGGACGTGATGAGCGCTAAGGTCCTTTCCAGCTCCAAAAGTCAACAAGCCTCTAATTCGATTTATAAAGCGTGGCTGACACCCAAGCTCCCAGCAGCGCCTCGATGGTGCGACCCAGGTCTGCCTGCAGTGTGCTCTGGGCTGCAGGTCCCTCAGTCAGGCTGGATAATGAGAGCCGAGCTCTGACTGCAAATGCCCCTCCTGATCATTAGCGGGGACACACACAGGGGAGAGGAGACAGCATGACAGGCCCTGTTGTTGCAGGGTCAGCCTGCAGAGCGCTCAGAGAGCATCCCCAGCTCAGCAAGGGACTTGAAAGATAATTAACTGGGGGAATCGCCAGTCCTAGCCACGTCTCCTTCTGAGGCTGGCACAGGTAGACTGGACAATCCCTTGGTGCTGTCAGCCTCCAGCAAACCCATGCCTGCCTGTGACTCTGGGCTTCTGGTGGACCCAGCCCAGTCCTGGCTTCAGGGTGGCTGGCCTGGGCTGGCTCTGACCCCATCTTGGCTGGAATCACCAGCCCCGTGGCCTTCCTGAGACCCCTGCCAGCTCCTGGTTTCTCTGGGGTTGCCCAATACCCTGGTCAAGAAAGAGGGAAGGTGCTGAGCTCAGAATTTCTAACCTTCTGCCGGAAGCCTAGAACCAGAAGAAAAACAGCCTCCACCAAAGTGACAAACTCAGTGCTCTCAACGTGTTTGAGAGGGAGAAACAGGGCTCACCCATGAAGATGTGAAAAAACAACTGCACCTTAGAAAATGCAACATTTTCAAGGCTGCACAGAGGCCCCCACCCCAGGGACACGTCCAAGGAGATCTGAGACCAGAGGAGTGTCTGCTCAGCGCCTGCCCCCATGGCACCCACTCACTTACCTGTGTGACAGAGTGGGTTTCATGGAGCTCATGGAGCTGAGGGGGGGCTGCATGGGGAGTTTCCCAGGGGGATCACTCTGGCGGCTCTTCTGATGTCGGAGCAGCAGCAGGCGGCCGAGCTCTTCGCACCAGGAGGACAACAGGGCTGCAGGAAGGACAGGATGGTCAGTGGCTGCTTGTTCATCACGCCCTGCCACACCGAGACCCCTCCCCAACCCTCCCCAGACTGGGTGCTATCCATGCTGGTTTTGCTCCCAGATTCGTGTGACACCAGAAGACTTAGCCTTCTTGGGAGGCCTCAGTGGTCTCAACTGTAAAATGGGACTGACACCCTTGAAGGAGAATACAAAAGCTTCTGTCGTGAAGAGAAGGTCAGAATGGCCCACGTCCGGGAAGTAGTGGTCCGAGGCAGCAAAGACGGGGAGAGTCAGAATGATGGGAAGGATGGCAGAGATGGTGCCAAGAGGAAACTGGAGGAGTGATGGGGCCTGACATGGACCTTGAGACAGCACAAGCTTAGCAGCTGCCTGCCACCCCAGATCCCTCAGGGAAGCCCACCCCCTCACAATTTGATCAGAGGCAAAGTGTGGCTTCTCCCCATGTGTGGGCTCAAAAATCACAAGGTTTGAACAAAATCTTGGAATCTGCTGATAACCTAGGAGTGTCTGCAGAGCTGTCCCTGAAAGTCCTGCCCAGAAACTGGCCCCCTAGGACACCCCTTCTGGTCACATCCACGGTTGGTCCCTGTTCTACCGGACACAAACGCCTAGGAAGACAAAGGATGTCCAGAGCAGAGGGTAGCCGGGGTGGTGGGGGGCCAAGCAGGAGGCAGCCAGGGGTGCCCAAGGCAGGAGAATGGAGCAGCCATCCACATCCGGGATGAGAGAGCCCCACATGAACTGGGGACTGGGGAAAACTGCCATTTTCTTTCACTGTTCACTGTCCCCATGTGACCACAGGAGCTAAAAGCGCCCCCTAGGCCAGCATGTCTCAGCCTGGGCTGTCCAGCGTGTCTCAGCTGGCCTGTCCTCCTGAAGTACATGACAAAGCTGAGGGCTGGGGGAACTGGCTGCGCTCAGTCACCATCTTGCTGTGGTGTGGACTCCAGGAGCCCACAGACTCTGGGCCTCAGTTTGCTTAGAGGTAAAAAGGAGTAATGCCTCGTGCCCTGCCTTCCTCCCAGGCTGCAGGGAGCGACAGATGGGGGCCTGCTGGGTCTGTGGAACTGCTGGACAAAGGGTGGCCACACCTCAGCTGATGCCCTACTCCTGCTGGGAGTGACCTGAGCGTTACGGAAGTAGTCGATGGGCAAGAGTGACCAGGCATCTTTTGAATCACAACTGCTCAGCCACTCGGCTGGGTGCAAAGCCGACTCCACATCTCAAGGGTCTCCCATCTGGACGCTGCACAATGTGCTTCTGCATCCTTTTTTTTCTCGACCATCTAGAACATCATTAGCTATTATTATCCTCATTCTACACACGAGTAGACGGGGGCCCAGTCAGGCAAAGCTACTCACAGTAACCATAGCCAGAGTCGTCAGGGACAGAGACAGTGCTCCTGCCCCTAGCCCCATACCCTGGTGGTAGAGCCTGAGACCAGACCAGAAGGTGGGGAGGAGGTGAAAGCCTTCAGAAGGCAAAATCCTAGGTGTTCACAGCCCCCCAGCCCCTCAGACTCAAGGAACCCCTCAGGCCTCTTCTACGCCACCATGTTCGGCAGGCACTGGTGGAAGACGCCCATATGCACAATGACTGGGAATGGCTGGGCAGGCTGCCATCCCAAGCCGCCCAGATCCTGGACAGGGTTCCCGTCAGCCCAAAGCCCTGAAAAGTCACCAGGGTCGCTTGCTCCATCTGCTCGGCTTGTGTGGTACACAAAGATGCCCAACCTAGAAGGCAAGCAGGGGCTGTGGTCCCCAAGAGGGCCCCTGTTTCTCCCTCCAGGAGGGGGCCCGGTGGATGAGCTAAGTCTTAAAAGATGTATCCTGCCCCCCTCTGTGGGGTCACCTTGCCACCACCCTCAAAGGAGGGCAGTATGAGAGAAGAGACACTCTCCCCAGCATGTGTGTCTGCCCAGAAACCAACAAACACCCCTATGTGGGTGTCCAGCACACATCTGCTGCAGCTGGAGAGGCAGCCTATTCAGGGAGGCCAGGACAGACAAAAACGAGCCTCCAGCCCACTCCATCCTTCTCCCAGGCCCCTAGGTACCGCCTCTTGTGCGGGGACACTGGGCATCTGGAAACTCATTTGCACGCCAAGCACGAGGCCCGCTGGATCGCAGCGAAGGAGGGATCGCTCCACTGCCAGCACAAAGGACAGCCACAGATGGTGCCGCCTGCTGCCCGCCCCACCCCTCCTAGCCCTCGCTCCTCCTGGGGGCTGGACTGCCATGCAGGGGGCGGAGGCACCACGGGGGAATCAGGGCTTTCCTCCAATGTCATGGGCCACCCCCTGCTCGGCCAAGGACAGCCCTTGTCCTCCTGCCCCTAGTGGAGTGGTTTCCGTAAAGGGAATGAAGGCAGGTTGGCTGTGTGACAGGGCCTTGCTGTACAGTCTGGTATGCTGCAAACAGGCGTGATATGTGGATCAGCCAGCCACAAAGGCCACTTTCCTACAACCAAGAGGTGGTGGGGGGATGGGGAGTCACCACCCCTCACCCCTGACGTGGGTGAGCACAGAGGCCACGCTGGCAGCCCCACGCGGGGCGGGGGATGTTGTGCGTGTTCTCCTTATGGTGCAAACCAACACAAGTTGTTCTGAGGCAAACGTGGGTTAATGACAACGCCTGGGAATTCGCAGCCAAAAAGAGAGTCTGGGCACTATCAAGAGAACCAGGAGGGCTGACGGGGACAGACAGAGGCAGGCAGGGGATTACGCAAGGACAGACAGAGTGACACCAGCTGGGCGGGTGTCTGAGTGCGCCTGGATTTTGGCCGTCACTCACACGTCTGGACTGGGAAGCCTGTCTGCTCTAATTAGGCAGGGCTGGCCTGCATGCCTCTTTGACCTGCATGCCTTTGGTCTGTGCACTTGCTAGGATGGCGAAAACAGTCCCAGGGTGAGTGGGAGAGACGGGAGGACCTGGTGTGGTGTGCGCAGAGCATACCAGGCAATGGGAGGGCAGTTTCAGCCCTGACCTGAGTCCCTCTCTGCTGCAGGCAGGGTCGAGTACCTTCTACTGCCTGAGCAACCAACATGGCCAGTCTGTCCCTTTGTCCTGTGGGCCCCACATACCACTGGTAAGAGAGCTGGCCCCAAATGCCCCTTTTCATACAGAGGACCCCAGTTTTCAAATTAAAACGGCAGCTAGGACCCAATGTCCCTTTCCCCCTTCATAAAATGCAGCTTGCTTGGGCCCAGGACAGCCTTGGCCAGTACATGTGACTACCTCTCTCCCACAGATGGGTGACGACTGGCCTCCTGCCTGGTGCTCCCACGGTGGGAGGCCCATGTACACATCACGTGCACAGCTGTCAATGAATGCCATTAGACCCACGGCCACCCTCCAAGGGGCTAAGCAATTGGCAGTGAGATACTCCAAAGCCTGCCAAGGGGCGTGGAGAGGAATTTTAGCTCCACCGTGCAAACTTTCTGGGCCGCTTCCAATCTGGGGTGTCAACATGGAGAGGCCTTCTGCCTGTCAGAAACCAAGAAGCAGGGGCTGGGCATGATGGCTCACACCTGTAATCACAGCACTTTGGGAGGCTGAGGCGGGCAGATCACTTGAGGTCAGGAGTTCGAGACTAACCTGGCCAATATAATGAAACGCTGTCTCTACTAAAAATACAAAAATTAGCCAGGCATGGTAGCCAGCGCCTCTAATCTCAGCTACTCGGGAGACTGAGCACAAGAATTGCTTGAACTCGGGAGGTGGAGGCTGCAGTGATCTGAGATCGTGTCACTGCCCTCCAGCCTGGGCAACAGAGCAAGACTCCATTCCCCTCCAAAAAAGAAAGAAAGAAAGAAAAAAGAAACCAAGAAGCAGGAGGGGCTGTTGGGAGCAGAGGTTCAGCCATAGAAAGGGGGTTGGGGTCAGGAGGGGTTCTGCGGAGCTGGCCACAGAGGCCCATGGGACTACCCACTGTCAGTCATGCTGACAGCATGGCTATGGCAGTGCCCATTGCCCCCTCTCCTCCAGCAAGATCTCTGATGGGTAACAGCCTTTCTTGGGGAAGGAGAAATAGAGACACAACCGGCTGTAAATGTACTGCTTCTGACCCCTAAACAAATCCCCTCTCCCCCATCACCCAAGGCATCAGAGTTTTAACAAGCAGGTGCTGAGCTGGGTGCAGGCACCCCAGAAACTGGGCTCTCAGGCTTCTTACCAAGCCCCATCTCCTGTCGTCCTCTCCAGCCTGTGCAGGGGCCAGTGCCGAGGACCTTGGGGCCTTCCAGCTCATCTCATGGTGACCACAGCTGGGGTTGGGATAGCAGCAGGGAATCCCCCCAGCTGCCAATGCTGAGCCTTAATCCAGAATTCCAAGCACTCCTCAAACATCTCAGCATAAAACGTATAAGCATGCACCACCCAACCTGTCTAAAGTGAACCCACTGGGCTCCCCTCACCTCTCCAAACTGCATCCTTGTGATCAGACTCCCTCACCTCGATCCATTCTCACCTTCAGTACCAAAGTGTTCTATCACTCACCCAACGTTCATTCAACACCAGTTGCTGAGCACCTACTGTGTGCTGGCGGTACTGCGGTGAACAGGCGAGGTTAGCACCCCTGCTGAAACTGCACATGGCCTCCACTGCTGAGTCCGAACCACTTAAGATGACGTGCAAAGCTCTGCAGGCTGGAAGTCTTGGCACCCATCGCTCCTGACCTTAGCAGGCAGCTACCACCCTGTGGTTCAGGGCAAGGGACTCTAAAAGTCTGGATTCAAAAACTCATTCCCTTCATAGCTATGTGACCGTGGGCAAATGACACAACCTCTCTGGGCTTCAGTTTATCTACCAAATGTTAATGCTTACTCTTTAGGGTTATTGTGCTTTTTTTTTTTTTTTTTTTTGAGACAGTCTTGTTCTGTCACCTAGGCTAGAGTACAGTGGTGCAATCTTGGCTCACTGCAACATCTGCCTCCCGGATTCAAGAGATTCTTATGCCTCAGCATCCCGAGTAGCTGGGACCACAGTTGT